AATGCAATACATGCATGCACTATAAATAGCTAAACCCTAATCAAAACACGGATGGACAGGCCCATTCCGGATATACAAAACAAACCAAACATTAAGCCCAATGATGCAACTCTAATATTCAACACATCGCAAAATATAGCAATCAAGTTTGATACAAATCAATTTAAATAAAATGAATAATAAATAGTTTTTCGGACACGCCTTTCTGCCCCAAAACATAAAAAAACAAAAATAGGGGGAGTCGTGAATACTCACAGTGTATTGAGATGATGTAAATTATGCCTTAAATTACATTCCACTTGTACCACTATTGATTGCTACAACGATGTTACACACTAATGAGTCTCTAATACAAATTTAACACTGATATACTTGCTACTACAACAAAATTATATCAATATTGCATCAAAATTTAATATTGTTATGTTATAAACATTTTTTTTGTGAAATTTAGATTTCTATGAATCAATTTGTTGTATAAAAAATTCAAGCGAAAAATCCCATTTTTGGCAATGTCAATTGAAGTGTAACTATAACATTTTGTAAAGTGTTTCAAATGGTTAAATATATAAAACAAAATCAAATAAGTTATTAAATTTCCCAAACTTTGTATTTTAGTTTTAACTGAAATCAAAGACATTAAAATAAATTTTCTTCAATTTTTTGTTTGTCTAACTATCTTTCATCAATTTAATTCCTTGAAAACATCATTTAATTTAGGAAAAGTAGTAAATGATCATGGAAAATTACTATAATTTTTGTGTAACTGCCTCATAATGCACTTAAACTCGGAAAATTATTAAATGCTAATTTTGATTAATAAAAACCCATTTTATATAATAATAATCTTTTGCACCAAGAAATTTTAATTAAATACAAAATAGTAGTGAAAAAATCAGCAAACTTTTTATTTATGTTCCAACTAAAGTTAAAGACTTCCGTAAAATTTTCCATGAATTTTATATATGTATAGATATTTTTCCATTATTTAATTGCTCAAACCAACACAAATTCGAAATAAATAGAAAACAATTTATGAAATTCTCTAAACATTTTGTTTCCACTGTTACTTAGCATATCTAAGCTCGGAAAAAAAAAAAAATCAAAGTTGGTTTTCATACAATTTAACTATTTTTTCTTTTTTTATTCATTTAAATAAGCATTAATTCGTGAAAACTTATTAAGCAGTAGGTAAATTTCATTAATCTTTTTATTTATGATTTATACGTAATATAGGATATTCATATGAAGTTTCATAATTTTTGGATACGTGTAGCTATTTATCAATAATTTAACCCTTTAAATATTCATTAAATCGGGAAAAATAATAAATTGTCTTGGAAAAATCTACAAATTTGTTCATAAAGTTGGTATGATTTCCAAAAAGTACGAAAATGAGCAAATATGGTTTTGGACATTCATAATTGTATTTCAAAGATTATTTCTCTTCAACAAAAATAAATTTGAAATCAACAGAATACAACCATAGAAATGCATGCAACTTAATGAAACATCTTTAGTCAGTGCATAGAACATATAAAAAATTTACAATAATTTATTAACCAGAAAAGTATTTTGTGTGAATTATTGATCTATTTTCTTACAAAAATTACAATAAATTATGAAAAATGAGTTATTTTTTGAAATTTCCAAATCATCTAATTTTGTTGATTGGATTCTGAAAAAAAAAATAAGATTGTAGCAGAAAATAAGTTTTAGCTATTTTTTATGAATAAATCATTTATAAGCATTCTTAACAATGTACTTTGATAATCAAGACTTTAAGCGTGATATTCATCATATGCCTTATGATTTGAAGACCATGAATGAGCTTATTTTTGTTTAAAATGATGTTTCTAACTGAAAACCTTGAATGCATGTGGTTTTGAATCTTTAGAACTTGTAAAACTCAAGTTGATGGATTTGATTTAGGTTTTGATCATTGGATTTCACATTCTAACAACATGCATGTTGTTTTTGGGTGAAGTCCTACCACCATCATCATCAAATTTGATATGAATGAACATGCATGTGAATAATCTCAAAGAAAAGTGTTTATGGAGAAGAAAAATGCAAGAAAACTTGTCATTTTTATAGGAAAGTGAAAGAGGGTGAAGGGAATTTTTGTTTACCTTGAAGAACAACTTCATATGATGAATATTCTTGAGTAAAATGAAAGATATTTGCAGGATTTTTTTTGGGTTTTGGAGCTAGTTCATAGAGGAACAGAATAGGAGATTTAGAGAGAAGAAAAGAGAGAAAATAGAGATTCTATCTCTCTCGATAGATCATATCTCTCGTAATCTCTTTGGGAATATACTTCACCAAAATTGTCCACCAAATTACTGAGATGCTTACGAACTCATGAAGAATTGACTGTAAAAATCTCTCCTACAGATTTAGTTTCTATGTTTGTTAGCTTTAGAGAGAAGGGAGAGAGACATTTTTAGAGAGATAAAGAGAAAGGTGGAGTGAAGGAATAAGTAAAATGATTAGGGTTAAGGAAGAGATGACTTGGGGGAAGAGATGTGAACGTGCTTTTGTGGAGAGAAGATGTATTTTCCAACATTAATTTTTTTATTTATATAATTTATAAGGTTTGGGGGTTATTCTTATAAAATATAAAATCTTGTATTATATTTTATGAAAATTTAGCTATTATGCTCATAAGTAAGCTAATGTTTATAAATTATTGTCCATAATATAACTTATGTCTCATTACATATGTAAATAATTAAAGACGTTGTATATAGTATACATTTTTTGGGGGAAGTTTAAATTTTATAAAACTTGCATTTATTTTATAAAATTTTGACACTCGTTATAAAGTTTAGGCACTTTGAAATATCACAATGGATGTAGAATATCTTGGATTGTTTTGAACCAAATAAAATTTGTTAACACCATAATGAATTGAGTTTAATATTTGTATAAATCAAATTTCTAAAAGTAAATAATTATATTTCGAGATTCAGGAGATATTGAGGAATCGAGTATAGTAGTCCTAGTTTTCAACTTTGACTTAAGTTTCTATGAGACGTTGACCTAATTTCTACTTCTAGGTCATGTGCATGATGTGTCTATATGATTCATGAAAAGATGTTCAATTCAAGGAATGACATGTATATAGATAGTCATTAAACTTAAATAGTTGTAGAATTCACATATCAATGTGAAATCTAAGTACACTATTCTTCGATTCTACTTGTTTCCAAGTTTCTATTAGGTTATAACTCAGCTTCTAGTTACCAAGTCAAGTATATGCCATGCCTATACGTGCAACTAAGTTTATTCAAACCTAGAACTGTCTCGAATTTTGATGGTTGTCACAGTCTCCCCCGATTGAAAGAATTTTGTACTGAAATGTAATCCATGATGTATTCTATTAGAATTCAGCCAAATTCAATTGTATAGTTGGACAGGTGGTGACATGAAGTGCTCTTTGACTATTTTGGGTTAATTACTCAAAGGAAGACCCCAACTCTTTAGCTATAATCAAATTAGTTTTTCGCTAGTTTGAGTTCTACAGTCTAGATTGTAAGAAGTCAAGTATATGCCACGCCTATACGTGCCACTAAGTTTATTCAAACCTAGAACTGTCTCGAATTTTGATGGTTGTCACAGTCTCCCCTGATTGAAAGAATTTACTGAAATTTAATTCGTGATGTATTCTATTAGAATTCAGCCAAATTCAATTGTATAGTTGGAGAGGTGGTGACATGAAGTGCTCTTTGACTATTTTGGGTTAATTCCTCAAAGGAAGACCCCAACTCTTTAGCTATAATCAAATTAGTTTTTCGCTAGTTTGAGTTCTACAGTCTAGATTGTAAGAAGTTAGGATCATTGAATTCATGACCCAACCATGTTGACCTAGTCGAAAAAGATTATGTAGTTAGATATTACCTGACTCTGGAGAGCGATATATGTTTTACTGAACCACCAACTGCATTGACACTAGAACAAAATGAAGCTATTGCAACACCCATAAAGTGTTGTATTATGTCTTAAAAGTGTTGTCTTATGCCTAATCCAACACTTTGAGAAGTGCTGCGTTAGGTCTTGTTGCCTTAGGTCTAAAGCAACACTTGTTTTAGAATATGCCACACTTTTCGGAAGTGTTGCATGTATTTTATAAGTGCAACACTTTTATGCTGCAACACTTTTTTCCCAAAAATGCAACGCTTTTTCAATATTTTCACTATCGTACAACAACACTTTTACCTATCATATGCAACACTTTTTACACCATATGCAACCCTTTTTCATTACTATCTAGAACCTATACCAACAGTTTTTTTATCAACCACAACACCTTTTTTCACGTTGTATATGTGCAACACTTCTCTCTATTTTCTACAACACTTTATTATGTTTGTTAAATACAAATGGCAACACTTTCCAAGATTTAGCAACACTTAGTAGTGGATTTCCTAGCGCTTTTGCATCACTTAATACAAATGTTATAATATGTATTACAAAAAAATTTCAATTTTAGAAATAAAAACCTTTCATAGATAACGTCATATTGTAACTTGATACATATGTCCAAACTCAAAGTGATAACCATATAATAAACAGTAAATACAAAAAATGTTTGTGAAAACCATGAAATATATTAAACTACTCAATTTGTATTTCGTTTCTTCTTCTATTTGATCATATTGCCCTTCTCCAATTGCCACTTCACATGCCCAAAGACATTGTAACCTGGTATAGATAAAAAAAAATGTTAGCCATTTATTTAATTAATCAATATATATATATATATATATATATATATATATATATATATATATATATATATATATATACAATCAATAATATTTTCCAAATTAAGTGATGGAGATCAACCACCAAACCTCAAGTTGGAGTTATTTTCAATAAACAAAAAGTTAAATTCCAACCTCTTTAGTTTGGAATTTAGTGGAGTGAAGGGTGTTGGATTAATGGTCTTAACCTAAAGATATAAGTCTTACCTTGTACCAAACATGGATGATAACTCATGTTAAGAACTCTCGAGCAACTCCAGCAGGTAGTTTCTCTATAAGCCTTTGCATCGCATCTTCAACTACTTTGTCAATATCATTCCGCATAGCTTCTAACTCAGCTTTTTTGCTCGCATGATCCTCTTCTAACTCATCCATTTTTCTTGCATGATCCTCGTCTAGCTCTTTTCGCATATCAAGCAATTGATCTTTTTCAGCATTCGCTCTAAGTGAGTCCATCAGCTCTCGTGGGACCATATAGGACGTGCCATCACCATTCACCTTATTCATCAACCTATTAGTAACACCTCTTCTGAAAAGTCTATGGTGTCCATCATACTCTTTTCCCATTGTAGCTAAAAAAGGATCTAATGGAGCACTTCCATCTTCTGAAGGTTTATAGTTCTTCATTTGTTCCTTCAAATCATATTCAGAAAGAAAAAGTTTACATAACTTATAATGAACTAATAAAAATAACCAGTACGAAAAAAAATATGTTCTTACTATCTTATTTGCGGTATCATCATATGTATCAACATATTTATTTCCTACTGTCCTTCTGCGTGTGCGCTCAAACATTTGGGCTAAGGTAGGTGGTTCCTTGTTAGGGTCATCATTCATCTATAAAATTATGTAAAAGAAAAAAAAAATACTATCAAAGTTGAAATTAAGGACTTAACATAAACTAATGATGACCATTTTTGTAAATTTGCATCTCCTGCAAAATATAAGGGTAGTAAAGAGACGCTATACCATTTCCTCATGAATTCTAGCAAAACTTTTTGGTCCGGCTGTGTGCATATTCTTTTGAGACATGCGTACATCCTTGGCGATCAAACAACGCTTCTACACCACAAAACAACACTTCAGTATGAACAAAAACTAGTAAGAAAACTATTTAGCAAACAATACCATCACAACTTTATTATTCCATAAGCTCAACAATTGTTGAAAATCCTTTTCTGGAATATTTTTAGGTCGATTCTTCCATCTTGTTTTGTTATCCTTAAGCATATAGAAGTGTTTTTTCTTGGTCCTACATTTATATCCCCTCCAGCATTCCCCAATTGTCCTTAGAACCCACTTTTTAGCATTCTCGGGAACAATGCATTTTTCCTTGAAAAATATAATACTTTAGTAAAAAGAATATATGATTCATAAACAAAATGAATAAAACTATTAAAAACCTTACCAACACAAACTCCCACATCTTCTCCTTATGTGGTACTTTGCGCCATTCTTTATATGTTAATGGAGCATAACTATAAGTACGAGCTATTGTACCCAAAAACTACGAAAATTGCCCTACTATGTCCTTCTCCTTAGTTACAGGTCCAATGGGTTGTCCAAATTTATTGCATATAATGGCCTCACGTTCATTGAAATTTCGTACTTGCACACCATGCATCATTGTTGGCCCTCTTTTCTTGGTAATAGAAAGTTCTAAATCCAAATGTATAAATTATAATATGTATAATTAATCAACCAAAATAAAAGAATAACTCAAATTAACCTGATGCTTGTTGTGATGGGATGCTTTCAATTTGTTCTTCAACAAGTTCATCATCCCTATCTCCTATATCGTCATCGTTATCACTTTGTTGTGCATAATCTTCAATATTTTCATAAACCATATGTTCATTGTCTTCATTTTGTATATCTTGACCTATATCATCATGGAATTTGCAAATTCAACACAAGGAATAACAACAAACAAATAAACAAACAAACAAACAATAAAAACACTAAACATACGTACCAAGTGACCTCAAATCATCCCCTTCATTTTCATCACCAAATGCACTGAAATCATCTTCTTCTAGTTCTAAAACAAGATCAAAAAATATTTACAACAATATTGACATATAATTAACAAACACACATTAGTCAGTTACTAAAAAAATTAGGACATTGACCATTTATCAAATTTTACTGTTATTGAGGGACCAAGTCTATAGTTTTACCGTTAAGTCCTTAATTTCAACTTTGCAAGTACAAGGACCAATTTTTCAAGTTTACTGTTATAAAGGGACCAAATCTATAGTTTTAAAGTTACATAAGACAAATTTTGTAAATTATTGCGACAAAATTGCAAGAATGGTCCCTGTGGTATGTCCAAAAATGCTACTTTGGGCCAAACAGGTTTGGACTAGCGCAAATAGTCCAAAAGTTTTCATTTTGCTGCGTTTTTGGTCCAAAACAGTTTAAATTTTTTAAAAATGACGAATTTGCCCTTTTCCATTTGTTTTTTCTTTTCTTTTTGTTATTTAATTATTTTCTAACTAAAAATATAAAAAATAAAAGAAACTCTCTCTCTCTCTCTCTCTCCTAATCACCAGAAAAACCCAACAACCATCGAATTTGTTGCCTTCTTCAATCCAACCTCTCGTCTTCCTTCCATTTTAATGGCAGGCCGACTGAATAACCACCAAACCGCCGCCATGGCCAGCTGAAGCAAGCCTTCGATCGATCGCAAACAGGACCATCAGCACTGTTCAACGGAGAAAAAGAACCGACAACATCAACCATTTTCCCTTTTGTATTCATCTCTTTTCGACCCTCAAGCTGCTTCCATTCGTTCTTCCTTATTCCTCCATCGATCTCAGTAACCATTTTTCTTTTCTGTTCAGAACACACCATTTTCATCTTCTTTGAATGTGATCCGGAGTTCCTTTTTAGTGTGTATATTTAACCCAGATCTCAAAGTTTGATTATGGAACAGGTTCTGTAGGTGTCACCTCTGATACCAATGATGGTTATGAATCTGCTGTAGGGGCAAGATCAGTTTTCAACTTAGCTTCTTCCAAGATCAGTTTGCAACCCAATTTAACTCCTAATCGGACATATCAAGCCTCGTTTACCCCCAATTTCCTTTAAGTCATGCTTAAGCAAAGTCGATTCCTCAACAATACAAGGTATCTTATTAGATTCAAGCCTTAATCCTTCTGTTCAAGTTCGATTTTGGTTGGTGCTAGGGCTTGCTTTAACAGGAAGCTCCAGCAAGGGTTAGATCGAAAAAACCGAACCTTGAAACACCAACAAGGTTAGATCGACGACAAGGGTTTCACACTAGAAATCGGAACCCCCTTCACTTCTCAAAATCCAATCGACAAACACAGTCACCCAAAGTCGCACCCCCCCTTCTCTTTCTTCTAAACTCGATTACAGTTTTCTTTTTCTCCTTTCTGAATCGATTGCAGCTCCTTATTTTATCTCTCTCTTTTTTACATTTGCAACTGTTAGGAATGGTGATAATTGAGGAATGAGGGAGGTCTTGGGTGATTGAAGGTGGTGTTGGACGGTGGTGTTTGTGTGGGTGGTATAGGGTGATGAACGAGAGACAGAGAGAGGGGGGGGGAGGGAGAAAGAGAGAGAGAGAGAAAGAGAGAGAGAGAGAGAGAGAGATGTTTTCTTTTATTTTTAATATTTTTTAGTTAGAAAATAATTAAATAACAAAAAGAAAAGAAAAAACAAATGGAAAAGGGCAAATTCGTCATTTTTAGAAATTTTAAACTGTTTTGGACCAAAAACACAGGAAAATGAAAACCTTTGGATTATTTGTGCTAGTCCAAACCTGTTTGGCCCAAAATAGCATTTTTGGACATAACACAGGGACCATTCGTACAATTTTGTCAATTATTGCACATGGTTCATTTATATAAATCCTGGAAAATACAAACACAAGGACTGTTTTTGCAATTTACTATTACAGAGGGGTCAAATCTATCATTTACAAGTATTTAGGGACCAATTTAATAATTTATTGCACAAGGGTAATTTTTGGTAATTCCTGGAATATACAAGTACAAGGACCAATCTTGCAAGTTTTCTATTAAAGAGGGACCAAATATGTAGTTTTTACAGTTAGAAAAGGACCGATTCCGTAATTTATTGCACAGGGATCAATTCAGTAATTCATTACACAAGCAAATACAATGTTATAGGTATACACATTACTGTTTAGTATTTTCAATAAATTAAGATAACAGTCACTATATTTAGTTGACATTTTTCAAATTTTGTTCCAAACACAAATGGTTTTACCATCAGACCTGTTCTCACTTCCAATTCTTTAATAATATACATATTACACAAACACACATATGACATAAAACATATTATATCTTGAATTTAGCCCAAAAAAATAGATTAAGATGAAAAAAAAAACATACCTTGATATCTCTCATCATCCACATCATCATCATCACTGTGAACAAGATACAATTTTCTTTTGGCTCCGCTTGTAATATCATTAGGTTCTGTCAAGTGTTTTTTAAGCGCACATTCTTTCATGTCTTGCTTTCGTGACCCTTTCTTACTTAAGATTAATTCACCCATGGTAATTGTTCCTCTAGACAAATTACTTTTTGTTGCAGTTGTATTAGGTTTTTCCTGGGAATGGTGTAGCCTACTTTTTTTGTTGTAGTTGTATCAAATGGAAACATGTCAGACATATTTGAAGCGATCACTCTTTTTTGCTTAGCAAAATTAGCATATCTATTTATGGACATTGGTGCAATATACCGTGGATGATGTTGCTGTAACAAATTGCAATTCCAATAAGGGAGATTTTCATAGAAAATAAATAAATAAATAATAAAGTAATTCAATTACCTTTTGGGAAGCTTGAACTCTACTAGCAACCTCTCGACCATCTCCCTCATTATCACCTCCAACATAATTCATATCTCTCTCATTGGTATCCATTGATTTCTTTTTATTTTTCTTTGTTTTTTGACTTTCTACCAAACTCGTCAAAGACTTTGCAATATTTTGAACACCCAATTCACGTAATCTTGCTTGATTCTCTTGGACCCTCGGTAATTTAATCCTTTCATAATCATTCATATCTCTTTGTGCACTTTCATCTTGCTTGCTTTTGTTTCTCATTACTAACATGTACAAACTCAAATCAACGTTAGAATCATCTTCAATGGAATTAAATTTTATAAACATTATATAAAGAAATCACAAAAACCTATTATGTTCAATAGCAAAAACATACAAGTTAATAACAAATGTTCAAATAAATAGGTAAAAATCAATAAAAGACGTGTAACTTAAAAAAAATCAGCATTGTTATCGTCATCTTCTTCTGCTTGCATCCAATCCCATAATGTACCATCATAATCAGAATCTTCACTTTCATTGTTAACCTCATCCATCTCATCTAAATTTGTATTTGCATCCACCACAAGAGGAGGGATGTCTTCTCTAGTCAATTCAACATCACGCTCACCAACTTGTTCTACAAAACCTAGATTGTCTTCATTTGGTTCACACCAATATGATGTACCAACATTTTCATCATTTTCATCCTCAAAGTCATAGAGATCTCTAGGAACCTTATTGACAACATAATGCAAACCATCTTCTATTGGGTCTGGTACATAGAATACTTGATGTGCTTGAGAAGGCATGACAAAAGGATCATCTGAACTACAATGTTTATTGAAATTAATGCAAGTTAATCCATAGTCATCTTTCTCAACTTGGTACCACTCACAATGGAACATTACAACTCTGAACTTTGACCAATAGTTGATTTCAATTATGTCTAAGATTCGCCCATAGTATTCAACATTCCCAACAACTGGATTTTTGTCCTTAGAGCTTGCAAAACTAGGAGTTAAAGACTTAACTAAAACGCCGCTGTTCTGGGTATTACATCGTGCATCACGTGCTTTCGTATGAAACCTATATCCATTGGCATAATACCCATGATATCTCCTTCCTGTAGAACTAGGACCCTTAGCAAGCCAAAATATATGATCCGGAACGTCATTATTTATTGCTTTATCTTTTAACCAATTGGCAAACTGATGACTATGATTTCGTGCTCGTGTCCATCTACTTTTTTGTGGTTGGGTATCAATATATACTTGGTGCTCACTACATCATTTAGAAAAAAAGCTATTAGTTTATACATAAGTTACATATAACTTGAAGATAAACTTGTTCACTTAAAATAGAATCTAAAGTGAAAAGCTTGCCCTTTCTTCGTTTTTTACCTCCCAAAGAATGACCTACATTCACAAATATCGGTCTACCAATTCCATTTTCCCTATCCAAATCATTAACATCTTCTCCACCCTTGTTAATTCTTGTCTTTACTCCTTCATGCATATAGTGCGAGCAAAACGTTAAACATTCTTCAATCAAATACCCTTCTGCTATGGATCCTTCTGGTCGACTCTTATTTCGTACATATGACTTCAACTTACACAAGTATCTTTCCATAAAATACATCCATCTATAATGCACGGGTCCTCCAAGCCTAACTTCATTTACTAAATGAACAGGTAAGTGCACCATTATGTCAAAAAAATTTGGCAAGAATATTTTCTCAAGTTCACACAATGTTTCAGTTATTTTTAATTGTAATCGATCAAGCTCTTGAGACTTAATTACCTTGCTGCACAAACCTCTAAAAAAAGCACTCAATCTAATCAAAGGCATTGCAACATGCTTGGGTAATGACTTTCTAACTGCAATTTGAAGCAAGTAATGCAACACGATGTGAGCATCATGACTCTTGTAACCTGAAACTTTCCTTTCTGAAGAACGTACACACCTTGAAATATTTGATGCACATCCATAAGGTAATTTTACGTTTTTCAAAACTCGACAAAAAATGTCTTTCTCTTTTAAAGACATATTAAAGCATGATTTCGGCAAGATAACATGCTTTCCATCATTAGAAAGTTTTGGTTGAAGCTTTTCTTTGATGCCCAAATCTAAAAGGTCAAATCGAGCTTTTGCATGATCCTTTGATTTCCCAATAATATCCAACAAAGTACCTATTAAGTTCCTAAAGAAATTGTTTTCTATGTACATCGGATCAAGATTATGTCGACATTTATTAAATTTCCAATATGGCAATTCAAAAAATATTGACCTTTTCTTCCATGGGCAAGTGCTATCATTTTTTTTCTTTTGTGTCTTTCCAAAAGTATTATGAAAATCGGATAACTCTGCAAAAGCCTCAGTACCTGATAGACATTTTGGAGAGAGTCTCTCCTCAATTTCACCATTGAAAGCACTCTTATTACGTCTCCATGGGTGTTGAGCATCTAAAAATCTACGATGATCCATATAGCATGTCTTTCGACTATGTTTCAAGTACAATGAACTAGTTTCGTGATTACAACATGGACATGCAAATTTTCCTTTTGTTTTCCACCCTGACAACATTGAATATCCAGGAAAATCACTGATGGTCCATTTTAAGGCAGCATGCATTTTGAAGGTCTCATCTTTACATTTATCATATGTCTCCAACCCATCAAGCCACAAATCTTTTAGCTCCTCAATCAAAGGTTGCAAGTAAACATCAATATTATTACCAGGTGATTCTGGTCCAGGAATTAATAAGGATAACATAAAGTATTCTGGTTTCATTGACATCCATGGAGGCAAATTGTAATAAACTAACACTACAGGCCATGTGCTATGAGCAATGCTCATTGTTCGAAATGGATTAAATCCATCACTTGATAACCCCAACCTTACATTTCTAGGTTCTTTGGCAAAAAGAGGGTATAAAGAATCAAATTCCTTCCAACTTTTCCCATCTGCAGGATGCCGTAAATTTCCATCATCGGGACGTTCTT